GGGGGTCGGCATCTCCGGAGATGGGTTCGCATTTAGGTGACTAAACGCAATAGCCTCATCTCGTTTGAAGATCCCAGTCCGAGATCCTATGGGGAGAATCCTGTGTCTTGCCCACCCGCCCCGCACCTGCAGCACCGACACCTTCCGAACCAACAGCTCCGGCTCCATCCGGGTATCAACTGCCCCGCGAGACTGCTGGCGCCTGCGCAGTGCGTCACTAGCACGCGCCGCGCGCAGGTCCCGCCCTCCCCGCCGTCTCCAGAGCAACCTTCACCTTCCAACGGAGCTGGGCGCATCCGAGAGCCTGCCCCCAACTCTCACTACCTGAACGGGCCCCGGAGATTCCAGCCTCCCGCAGCGGGTCCTCCCAAGCCAAAAGTGTGTTGCATAGGAGTGTATCCGCGGAGGCCAGGGCGCCTCTGCCGAGTAAAAGCGCAGCACGGAGCCATTTTCTTTCTTTCTGGTTTAATTCCAGCCAATGCCCCCCTCCCCATAGCACCTGGGGGGCTCTGGAATACGCAATCGAGTCCGTAAAAAGTCCCAGTTTGAAGAGAATGAGAGCAGGCATTCTGGGCCTGGGTCCAACACCTACACAGCTGATTGCTCCTCAGGCTCCGCGTTCTCAGCCAGGTGCAACTTCTGTCTGTGCCAGTCAAGGATTGTGATGCTTTGGATCCCAGTCTTATCTTCCCATCTTGCACAGGCTTAGTTTCCCCAAGTGCGCAAAGGGGCTATGAAAGGGTCTTTGGGGCGGTCAGTGGTCTGAGGTTGCAGTGTTCTCCTGCCCTTTTTTCTAGGTAGCTTACCCCCTTCTCTTGGGCTAGATCCTGCAGATGCGTGCACTCGCACTATTTCTGACTAGGACTAGGTGGGGAGATAATCTAAATCAGTGAAAATTGAGTGCTGAAAGAGTAGTAAGACATCAGACAAGCTTTGCCATGGATTGGTGTCACCTAAAGTACTTGCAAAGATTTTAAGTAGGTAAAACATTCTCTGCAACCACCTTTCTCCTAATATTTGGGGAGTTCTTTCTGCACTCCTTTTCCTGGGTGGGGGAAGTCTGTGGCTAATTCTGACTCAGGACAAAGCAGTGGGGATATTGGTTATATAAAAATACTCCTGGAGGGTGGTGGGGAAGAAGAAACTGAATCCATTTCTGGGAGCCCCTGTACACACATTTACACTGTCAGGTTCCCTGGAAAGGATACATAGAATTACTAAGATCTTCCAGCTGTCAAGAGAAAGAGGTTTCTGTCAGGAGGGGCACCAGGCTGAACCCCAGATGCTCTGGGGGCCATCTGGTGGAGGTTGAGGGGCCTAGAGTTCTTGGCTGCATGCATCTCCAGCTTTTTACCCAGCAGCCAGTAATGGCCTTAGGAGTATGTCCCTCCCCCATCCCGATGCCCCCCCAGAACCGAAGCATCCAGCCTGACCTACATTGCTAAGCAGCTGGTCCAGGTTTCGGTCGGCCATCGTCTTCTTCTGCTCCTCAGGCAGCCCCCCAGTGACTCCATCCTCTTCTTCCTCCTCCTCTTCCTCCTCCCCACATACATCCAGACTGAAGTGAAGCCGGGCCAGCTTCTCTTGCATCTCCCGCACGTGCTCCAACTGCTCAAAGGAGCATTCCTTCCCTGGATAGCCCCTGTCTGAGCCTTGGGAGCAGGTCTGAGACTCTGGCCCCAGCCATACCCCAGAGACCAGGACCTCCAGCCCCAATTCACATACCTTTTAAGCCTAGCCCCTAGAACTCACCGAAGGCCTGCAGCCGGCCGGAATGAAAATCATTGAGCAGGTTAAGCAGTCCCCCCTCCATCTCATAGACATCGGTCACCTCAGTCAGGAATGAGTGCTGTAGCGGGGTGCCTGCAGAGCCGCCCCCACCTCCAGGGAGCACTGGGCGGCATTTCTCCTTGCCAACCCTGGGTGGGGCGGACACGACCAAAGTCACAGTGTGGGGGCAGCCAAGTACTCCTAGGTCTTTTGTGCCATCTGTCTATGTACTAATTCATCTTCCTATCTACTCACCAACATAAATGGATCTTTGTCCTTCTGGCCCTGCCCTGGGCACCAGGATTGGTAAAGGAAAGGGAGCACAGCACGTAAGAGGGGCTGAGGGTAAGAAGTCAGAAGAAGTCTTTCTGCCAATGATACAGCCAGAGCCATGACTGGAAAGGGGCTCCTGGGTTCCTTTCTGAGCTCCCCACTCATCCCTCCCATGACCCTGGATGTATTACTTGTCTTCACTGGTCCTCAGTGCATTTGGGGGCAGTTACTCCCTTATTTCCATGAGAGCCATCTTACCTCAACCCAAAATATCTTTGTCCCTTTTCTATTTGAAAACTGTTTTGAATTTTTCATTGCCCTCAAGATAACATTAAACGACCTTCCCTGCCTGGCTCCCACCCCCACCCCGACCCTGCTTCTGTAATTGCATTTCCTCTTATTCCTGCCCTGGCTCTGAGCTTCAGCTATACCCACTGTGGCTGTCCCTAAACATGTCCCTTAGGCAGGGAGTATCAAAGCCACTGGGAAATATAGCAATTGGAGAAAGAACACACACTGACACATAGGGTAGGATACAAATTTCCAATCATTAAAAAAATTAAGCAGAGAATTCAAATTGAACACCTGAATATCCCCTCATCATTTCTTGCCCCATGATATTCCAGGGCCACCAAACCACCTGTGGTTCTTGGAACCTTCCAGGCAATATTTTTCTTCTATACTTATGCCAGCCAAACCCCTCAGATCATTCCCCCTCCAGTGTGCCCACCAGCCTTCTCCAGCTCTCACTTCCTGACAGGCAGTGCCGCTCATTCCCTGCTTTGAGGTGCAGCATCACATTGTGTGATCCCAGTGGCCCACCTGGCCTTTTCCCCACAGAGGTGAGGGTAGGGACAGGGTCTGAGCATCTTGAGTTTTCAGGGGCCAGCTGGAGCAGCCCCAGGGAAGGCATCAATTATTGCTTAGTAAGTAAAGGCTAGGGCTCCCTTTACCTCCCTGACCATAGGGCTCAGCCCAGAGTTGGGAGTTCCTCCCTCCTTGCCCTGCTTTCCTTCTATACCCACCTCTTGAACTTGGTCCGCTGCTTGGGGGAAGGCAGATGAGGGAGGCCCAGGGCCAGAGAGCCACTGTGGCTGGTGGGCACAGGGACCCTGCGGAGTGTTCCTGGGGCCACAGCTGGCTGGGTCAGGCAGGGCTTGGGACTCCTTTTCTTCTTCTTGTCCTCCATCAATCCTGGCTGGGCCTCAGGCCCTGGGAAGGAGGCAGTCCCACTGAGATGTGAGGGGCAAAGTCAGCCCTTCATACAGCAAATCATGCGAGCTGCAAAGGAAAGGCCCTAGGGCCTTCCAGCTGTCCCCTCATCTGTCCAGTATGGGCAGGGCCTGATGCCAGCACCTACTACTGGGGTCATGGATGTGTATTTGAAGGACCTTCCAAGGCCCATCTAGGTCCTGGCCTGCTCTCCAGCCCTGCCAGAAAGGGCTGAGCCAGATGCCATTCTCCTGAGGCTGTTGGAGTTTCCTGTCTCTGTTGCTGGGGGGACGGAGCTGGCAGAGGAAATGTGGAGGGAGACAGGGTGGATGTGAACTGGCAGGAGCCCAGCTAAGGATTAGGGGTGTCTTAACCAGGCCTTATTCTATTTATCTACTGCCTAGGCAGATGCCGACAAACCCTGTCAGCACTGGAGGTGACCAAGGTATGGGTAGGGGTGCCTGGGAAGACCTGTGGTAAAGCACTAACTCCTATGCCCCAGTGAGAGAAGCCTGGGCATGCATATGGGGCAGGGCTCAGTGTGGGAGTTTCCCCCACTGAAACACTGGCATCCCTCCTCCTCCATCCACTCCCAACCGCAAACACCAGGTCACTCCCTGAAGTTCCCTGGAATGTGCTTCCAGCCACTTCACCCGCCCCACTCGGAAAGTCTCTGCTTGGCTTCAGCTGGGGTGGGTGGTCAGCAACTGGCTGCCGTGGCCCCAACAATGGCTGGCCTGTGGCTGGCACTGCTCGGCCTCCAGTCCGGCCCTAGCCCCTAAGCCCAGGTCGGCTGAGGTCCTCCCTAGGGGGGTCTGGGAGCCCTTTCTGTAGGTTTTCCTGAGCTGGTGACTCCAGGCTGCCCCCACCAAGCCTGATTCTGCACTCTGGGTTGGTGGTGGAACTGGGGGCATAAGCATTTAAATTGGCACATGGCTGGCTGGCACTGAGGGGTGTGGTGGAGGGGACAGGGAGCATGTCATCTGCCTCGCCCTGCAGTGGGGCTTGACTCAGTTAAGGACTTGACAGAAGAACTAGAACAGGAGCTCCTGCTCCCCAGGAACTGCTGGGGGCGACTTGGATCTATTTTTCACTCTCAGTTCCCAAAGCCATGTGCCAAATGGATCGCTCACCCCGGGAGCCAGGATCCCAAATGGAGCATCAGACCCGTGTCATTTGCCCCCGCCCCCTCCTGAAGGGGGCAACTGACCTGTAGGTTTGGGGTCCGGAGTGATGTTTCTGTGCGGGTTCCTTCTCCCTCAGCACTCTCTTACTAGGGAACCGAAGGGGTGGAAGCTGAGCTGGCAGGAGGTAATTTGCATTTAAAGAGAAAGTGACCTTTAGTTCTTGAGATGGAGTAAGATGGGAGAGCGTCCCCACATTTATTAAGCTGTCCCTCTCATGACTTTACCTTCTCACCTGAACTAAAGTGACCATGTTGGCTGCGTGATGGCGACCTAAAAATTCTTTTAGTTTCCCATCAGTTTTGGAGAGAAACTAGTCTCTTACAAAATGGTGGTGGCTTTGTCAGAAAGCACGGAGGGAATGGGGGGGGCGGGAGCGCGGCGGGAGAAGAGAGAGAATATATGCATGAATATATATAAAAGCATATAAAAAGCACCAAAAGCAGCAGCAAGAAGAAACAGCAAGACAATCATCTATCTAGTGAGTCCATGTTCCGTGTTAATTACTTTATAGACATTAAATCCTCATAACAACCCTGACGGAAGATAGTCATTTTCCTGTTTTACTGAAAGTCAACAATAGTCTTTTGTGGATTATGTCACTCTCAATTCCCCAACAACACCCAGACACTCTTCATACTCCTTGCTGGTAAGCGGCTGGGTGCTGTATTCGATCACTGATGAAGTGACTGGACCAAGCCCACCCCTTCCCCACCCACAGGCCCAGGAAACCTGTGTGGGGAGCACTGGGGCAGTGGACACTGGTGCCTTTACCTGACGGTTGATTGCAGCCTTCGGAGGGAAACCTGAGGCCTGATGAAGGCTGACCCAGCACTGCTGGTGCCCCGGGAAGCGGGGCAAGGATCAAAGGGGCAGCTATTTAAAGACTTGGCAGAGGCTCCCAGCTCAGGTCCTCAGAGAAGCAGCTGATGCAACAAGAGACAGGCTTTTCCCTGGCCAGGTTGCCCAGCAGTCTCAAATAACTGCCCCAGGACAATATGCACAGGTGCTCCACCCACCTTCCCCTCCTCTGGGCGGGAAGAGCAGCTTCCAGGGGCCTGGGCCTCAGGCTGAGCTAGGGAGGGATGAGACACCGTTCCGAAGTCCCTAGAGCAGGGCTCTTTCCGGGCTGCTTTCAATTGCTCCAAAAGGGGACATTAATTCAAGACTCTTTCAATAACCAGGGATCTGAGGGAGGGGTCTGCATAGGCAGAGAGGACAACTGGCAAGTCTCCCTCCTCTACCAGAGCTGCTAGAGTGGCACTGGGGCTCTTCCAGGAAAGTGGCAGAGGGTCCAGGAGCACCTCTAGGGTGAAGTTACTCTCAGAGCCGCTTGATTAGGAGATGCAAGAGTGTGGTGGCCTCCCCTGATCTCCTCCAAAGGATCTTTGACTGGAACCAACGTGGTCAGCCCAGAAAAATAACCCCGACTAGAAGGGCAGAGGCTCTGCGGGGACTGTCACAGCCAGCGTGGACACATCTACCTGTGGAGGCCTAGAGGGAAGGGCACTTTGTCTCTGCCATTTGTTGGGCATTCATATACCATCCTTTGTGCCAGGCCAGCCCAGGCCTGAGAACAGGGCGCTGGATGAGGCTCCGATAAAGGAGCCTCAGCTTTTACACCTAGGCTTGGGGTGAATGAACTAGAGTGTGTAAGAAGAAACCAGCCCATTCTTAAGAACTGCATGCGGGATGTGGTCTTGTCAAGGAATGCACAAAATCAAAGGAAATTGGAGGTCCCTTTGTGTTTATTCCTTTGAGTGAGCCACTGCCAAAAGATGGCAGATAGCCCCAGATAGCAGCTAAGAGTTCCCACTCATCTTAATTTAGGTCTCAGTTGGCGTATGCCTAGATCTCTGTTGTCCTTGCCTTTTACCTACCTCTTGTGGACCATATTAATTTCCTACCTAAACACCTTCAGTATAAGGTCCCCCCACCCTTTGGATCTAGCCCAAAGTCCTTCACCTGGCAACAGGCTCTTAGTGATTTGGCCCATGCATCTCCTCCCACCACCCTCCCTGTGCACCCGCAGTTATGTGAACCACTTAGTTACTAAACGAAGTTGTAGAACTTCTATTTGCCCTTCGGGCCATAGGCCCTTCCAGGTATCCACCTCTATCCCCTTGCTGAAGGAGACAGGGCCTCTTCCATGCTCTCTTAGCACCACCATTCTTTCTACATCTAAAAGTCCCTTTTCCCATCACTAGCCTGTGAGCCCTCAGAGGACAGGGACAATTTCTGACTGAGTGAAAGATATCATCTCTGATGTTCCTATGTATATGAGCATTACACCAGCTTTGCCAAGGGCTCCCCTTGGGCAGCCAAAGTTAATCTTCCATGTCCTGAGCTGTGGGGACTGCTGGAAGGAACGAGGGCACTCTGGAAGATGCAGGATTTCAGGGCCCAGAGACTTGGCAGAAGATCCAGACAAATGTGATGGCTGGATAGATTCGGAAACAACAAATAACCACAAAGGTCAGGAGAGAAACTAGTAAGGCAACAGACTCTTTATTTAATATGGTTTAAAATACAACAAAATCAAGTCCCTGGCTGTTGTGAATACCAAAACGAGACAAAAAAAAGCTGTCAGCACAGCTTCAAACAAATCTGGGTGGCCAGGCTGGGCCATAAGGGAAGCAGTTACAGGGACAGAAGGCAGTGCCCCTCCCCCAGGCAAGTGCCCGGCTATCCCTGGGGTGACCACCTCTGTGCTGTGCAAGATGGGAGGGCTGGAGCAGCAGCTGGAGAATCAGCTCAGCAGGCCTTGCCCTCCTCGAGACACCAGGGCAGCTCCACAGGCCTCTTGGTCAGCCCTCAACAGGGCCACCACGATGGAGTAGAGGGGAAATAACCATCTTTACAGACATAACATTCTCTTACAGAAAAGTGCGTGAGCTCAGCCCATGGTCCAAAAACCTTATGAAAACAATGAGAAAAGAGCTACTGACACCTCTCGGAATCTGGTGTACACGAAGCTCTCAGCTGGACAAGGTTCTGAACAGATTACTGTCAGCAGAGCCAAGGGCTGTGAGCCTCATCTACTGTGGTCCCCTGGAGGAAAAATTAGCAATCTAAGTAACCAACACAATCTTGGTCCTAGAACTGAGGTCATGTGCATGGGACGTGCCCTGGTGAGGAAGGCACTGGCCTTCATTAATAGACCACCTCCCCTGCATCTGGCCCAGGCTCCCGGCTGGTGTGGGCAGTACACAGGAACCTGGGCTGACTTTGGAAAGCAGAGCAAGCAGAGCAGCTGTAGTGATTAGTAAGATTTGGTCAATGGAATTAGAGGAAGAATGGGATCCTCATCGGTAGCCTGGCCAGGATGCCTACAGCTGAGGAAAGGTTCTACCCTACCCACCCAGGGCCTGTATTTCTGATTTGGGAAGCCCAGCTGGGAAGCCTTGCTCACTGTAGCTCCACAGTAGCTAGACTTGGTTTCAGAGGGCTGCTGTGCTTTGCAGCTCTGACTCCCCACCCCATTGGGCTTTAAGAGGTAGCTGAAGTGAGGCAGGCAATCATGTGGGCCACTGCAGGCCTTCCTGATCTTTAAAGGGAGTGGGCAGATGCTTCTGCCTCTCCCGTGCTTCCATATTCCAGCAAACCCTGTATGGGGTTGGCAGCTCTTGTGTACCTCAGCCTGGCACAAGGGCTGGGGGAGGGAGCCTTACTGGAACAGGAAGAGGCATGTTCAGGGACCATTCAGACACAGGCATTTCAGAGAGGAAGAAAAGATCTTAGGATACACTTCTCCACAGGAGAGCAGTATTTCAGCCAGGGATGGCAAACAGGTCTCAGCAATGAAACTGGCTGCTGGGGGAACCTTGAGAAATGACCTACCTACCAGGAATGAGTAGGAAATACTCTGAAGCAGGTTAGTGGTACCTACCATGGGGGCAGAGGGGAAATGGTGTGCCATTCATTTGCCATCTCTGGTCTAAGTCAGAACATGATTCAGGAGTACTTATGACTCTTCGTGAACCTATTTTTTCAGAGGGACTTAATGGCTGAAAAAGTGGGCTAGTAGTAAAAGATGAAGGGACCTGTAGACCTGTATGATAATGAACTAGCTTCAAGGAAATACAGCAAACAGCAGAAGCTCAACCGTCCTATCCACCTTGGTCTATGGCTCCCTCAGCTACACTGAAGCTGAGGCCGGCTGGAGGTGGGGTACAGTACCCCAAGCCCAGCAGAGCCCTGCTTCCTGATCCAAGCCTCATTCCATTGCCCCAGAAAATTGCTCTGGACAAAGACTGGCTAATACCCTGGTGGCAAGTTTGTAACCAGCAGAACTTTCAGAGTACAGAGTAACACGTAAAGGAGGGTGGTGGGGGCAGGGGAGGGGGGAGGATACAGTGGACAGGATGAGGGCAGACAAAAGTATCTGCAGGTATTTTGTGTATTTCTGGGGCTGTCAATTGTTGAGTCTCACTTATATCCATTAGTTGTCAGACTAGAGCTGAGGCTCCCACACAGGAAGAAGTGGGATGCCGAGGACAGACCTCAGCTCTTATTCCCTGGGCTATGGAACTGGGACAAATCTCAAGGATTGTACATTGGCGTACAGGGCAAGGTGCAGAAACAGACTCATAAAGCCATGAGGGATAGTTGGGCCTGGGGCCCAGCAAATGCTGCAGACAGTGCTGATGGGACTCAATAGGGCCCTTCCAGGATTGAAACCCATAGGTAAGCTTGCCCTTTCTCTTACAAGCTGACTTCATCTAACAGGAAACCTGAGCACCAACATGGCAAAAGGTGCCAGGTGGGGTGGTGAGGGTGGTGGGGCACTGGAGGCCAGGAACCCAGGCACCACTGCTAGAGCATCCTTCCTCCTCCCTCAGAAGATCCTCTATACACAGTGTCACGTGTTAACAAAAACAAAAACCAAAAAACCTTCAGAAATAATCCTTTGGGCGATCCTCTTGTCAATCATTTGTGCAGGCTAGAGAGGCACCTGTGAATGATAAGGCTACTGAAGCATCATTGGCCTAGTCCTGGCACTACCAGAGGGCATGGGAAGCGATGCCCGAGGGGCTTCCTACCAGTGCATCATCCCACACAGACACATTCTCCAGGTCCTTTGTCCTAGGCAGGAAAGTGGTCTGTTCACCAGCTAT